GGCCCTGCTGGGTTTGCCAACAGGATTTTGGTGTTTGCTCTCCCGCCTGGCATGACTGCTGAGGCAGCTGGCATTCTTCCCAATTACCCCGCCGACCAGTGTTGCTCGCATCAAGAGGGATCGGTCTCAGCACGCCTGCTCAGTATCCTGCTGCTGCCACCCTTTTCTTAGATGGATGGGGGCCCTTTTCATTCCTAAGACTCCTGGGCTTGGGAAAGCAGGATGGGGGAGTGACGGCACAGTCTTTCCCTTTAAAATGGCTGCACAAGAAGTACATTCTCAAGGATTGAGAGGAATCAGGAAATAAGCCAGGAAAAGAAATCAGACAGAGAGCCAGAGAAACCAGGCACCAATTCTAGATTTTTTTTTAAAGGACTTGTTTTGTTTTCCCACATTTCTTTCCTTGTGTTTTCTGGGGGATAGTAGATAGTTCAGGAGTAAAGAGGATGGGGGACCCTTGCTGAAGGTCACCCCAGACCAGTCAGAGTCTATGGGTCAGGAGAGTCAAGGCGGACGTATGATTAGCAAGGGACTGATGGGAAGAACACATGCTCAGAGGAATCACAATCCCTCCCACCCGAGGCAGCTCCTGGAGCCTCCAGCCACCTCCCTCAGCACACAGTGCGCACTCACGAGTCATGAAATACCCTCCACGCGACACAGTGCCTACTTGGCTTTCCCAGGCTGCTGGTTAATAACTTAGAGTCATGGCTGAAGAACGCAAAATAATTGAAAGCAATGCTTAGTAAATTGCAGTTCCACGGTCTTCATTGCCTTCCTGACAATTTGCAAAACCCATTTCATTGCTTTTTTAGATTCCTTGAATTGAAATGCCACTGTGTGCTGTAATTAAGCTAAGTGACATGCCAGCCATAAAGACAAGGGTTGTGAATGATTACAGTGGGCTCATGTAATCACCCAGGACGGGTGGGGGAGGACGCTTGAACGAGCGGCCAGTCTGCCTGACTTCCACACCCCATCAGAGTGGAAGGAAAACTGGAATCTGTAATAGCCCTTTGAAAGCTAGGGAGAGTTTCCCTGGCCTGTGCGAGGTGAGCTAGGGGTTGTCCAGTGTGGGGTGAGCCAAATAAGTGGTTCCCAAACATGGCTATGCATCAGAACTCTCCAGGGGAGCTTTCTAATCCAGGTCAACACCCTACCCCAGACTGACTATTCTGGTTTTCAGGGGGTGGGAGCTCACGTGTCTTTTCAGCGGCCCAGGTAGTTCTGAGCCTGGAGAACCTGCCCAGTCCAAGATGGCTATTTTTAACCATCTGGTCTTCAGGAAAATCATTTTTGCACTTGGAGGGTTTTTCTTCAGTGCTGCTCTTTTAAATACATCTGGGGACAGGAACTCATCCATCTGCTTTACGAAACGGATGCTCTGATTTCCATGCCCCCAAAGCTCCCTCTCCCAATGTTTCTATTTTTTTTTTTGAGGGGACTCAGTTCTTTTCTTTCTTTTCTTTTCTTTTTTTTTTAAGTAGGCTCTATGCCCAGCATGGAGCCCAACATGGGGCTTGAACTCACAGCCCTGAGATCAAGACCTGAGCTGAGATGGAGTCAGATGCTTAACCAGCTGTGCTACCCAGGCACGGGACTCAGCTCTTTTGAAGCTGTCATTGTTGTTCCCTTTTTCTACTCCCTTCCCTTCACTCAGCTGCAATATCCAAGCTCTACCGTGCTTTTCTCTCCTGCCTCCTTCTCTTTCCCACAGCCCGCCATCCCAAGAGGGGCTGAAAGGCTTGAAACCTGGGCCACCAGAAGAGCACCCTAACCATTCGCCCACACTGGGTCTCTCCCCTTGCCAGTCATCCATTCTACTATCTCTTACCAGATTTGACTTTGTAACACTAAAATCCCCCATTCAAAGTCTCCAGTGGTTTTCCGATGAATTATGTACTTCCCAGGATAACGTTTTAGACCCTCAATTTTCACTCATTCGGCAAATATTTACTGAATTTTTATCATGTCCTAGGCACTAGGCTAAAAGCAGGGGATATAAAGATTTAAAGACATGGTACAGCCCCTCAGAGAGACAGCCACGTAAACAAGTTCACCATCACGAGGATGGAATAAACGAGGGCACTGTGGTCTCTGGTATGGTCTCACACACTATCTTCCCATTGTCACCTCCCAATTTTCTTTTCAGACCCAGCCAGATTGGACTAAACTTTACTTCTCGACCATGTCCGGGGTTGTTTTTGTTTTCTTCTGGACCAGTATGCCTCATACCACACCTCATATCCACTTTTTTTTTTTTTAAGATTTTATTTATTTGCGAGAGAGAGAATGAGAGACAGAGAGCATGAGAGGGAGGAGGGTCAGAGGGAGAAGCAGACTCCCTGCCGAGCAGGGAGCCCGATGCGGGACTCGATCCCGGGACTCCGGGATCATGACCTGAGCCGAAGGCAGTCGCTTAACCAACTGAGCCACCCAGGCGCCCTCATATCCACTTTTTAAAATCATATTGTGGGGAGCCCGGGTGGCTCAGTCAGTGAGGCACCTCTTGGTTTCAGCTCAGTTCATGATCTCAGGGTTGTGGGATCGAGCCCCACGTCAGACTCCACACTCGGCGGGGAGTCTGCTTGAGATTCTCTTCTCTCTCTCCTTCTGCCCCTCTCCCCACCTCTAAAGTAAATCTTTTTAAAACAATTTAAGATCATATTTATCTTTTCCTGCCATCTCAAATGTCACCTCCTCTGAAGAAGGGGACTTGATCCTCTCAGCTGGTGTGAAGGCATTTCCTTCTCAACTAATGACACTCTTTGATAGTGGCACTTAACTCAGGCCAGCTCTCTGTGGACCCATCTTACTCCACTGCACACTCCATGGGGGCAAGGTCTGCCACAAGCATTTTTTGTCCCCCACAAGCATTCAGCAGACAGTTGCTCTGCATAGTCCTACAGGTGAACAAGCAGGAGGTGCGTGGGGCCTGCCATTTTGCCTTCTCGTTGGATAACCCAGACCTGTTGACGTCTCTAAGCAGGACTGGCTACATAATGTGGTGAGTGCAAAATGAAAATGCGGCGCTCCTTGTTCAAAAACTGCTCAGAATTTCAAGAGGGTGACAACAGAGCATTTAACCAAGTGCAGGGCCCTTCTAAGTGTGGAGCCACGTGAGACTACGCAGATGGCGTGCCCATGACGCTGAGCCTATTTCTAGGATCAAAGGTGCCGGCACCAAATTGTCCCCTAGAAAGACAAATAATTCTGACTTCACCTTATTAACAGACTTCCTTTTTATCAGCTTAGGAACCTTGACTGGCTGGGGCTGGCGACTAGGGAGAAAAGGGGAGAGATGTAGAGGTTCTAGAAAGCCCCATTTCAGCAATTCTTATAGCTTTCGTGTAGTCCAGGCTATAATCTATGGCAACCTGATGACGACAATGGAAAAACTGACCTTCTATCAGTCCATTTGGAGGTTTCTAAATGACATTGGGAAAGGGCTGGCAAAGGGAGGGTTAATTTTTTTTAAGTTTTCTCTACGCCCAACGTGGGGCTCAAACTCACAACCCCGGGATCAAGAGTCACATGCTCCACTGACTGAGCCAGCCAGGTGCCCCAGGAGGGTTAATTTTTTACTAGTCTCCCTAGATGTAATCGGGCTTCCTTCTTCTGCCATCCAGATGGGCCTTGACTTACGTACTAAGAACTACTCGACACTAGGAGTCCTTGAAAACCAGGCCTAGGTGGAGATGAAGGTGTTGTGTATATGTGTGCTTCACAGCTGGACACAAATGGCTTCTCCATTCACTACTTTGGATAATTAAGTGAGGAGTACTATAGGCTTCAAATATCCTAGAATCCCCTGACATCCTTGAGGCCAGAAATTCATCCCATTAGGACTTCATAAAGCAAAGCTGAATCAACATTGTGAAGCGGGTTCTCGACTTCAGACCTCACCCTTCTTCCACCCCTGCCCCATACTCCTCCTCCAAAGCTCATTCCTGGGATCTAACTCAGAAAGAGCAAGTGAGGCAAAGTCTTGGATCACATTCCTGGAGAGGGTAGAAAATGAACTAGCAAAATGAAATGTTATGCCTGGAGCCTAGCTAGGGTTGATACTGGGCAGACACATGGCAGCCTCAGGGCCCCCAAAAGGGCCACCTCAGGGCCCCCAAAAGGGCCACCTCAGGGCCCCCAAAAGGGCCACCTCAGACACCAGGCTCCCAGCAAGGAGAGCAGGGCTTACCATTCATCCAAAGAAATTCTTCAAAGGCTCCTGACGCATTTTTGGTGAATTTGGAGCTTTCTTAATGAGGAGTGCTCAAGAGAACTCTCTCTCCCACTTCCCCCTTCCCATTCTCACTCTGGATCAGGCTCACCATCCCGGTATTGAGCATGGCGATTTATTTTAATGTACACTTCAGGGGAAGATGCATCATTTCTGCAGGTTGGTGGAAGAAACACCTGCAGGCTGGGTACTCTCGCCTTACTTCTTCATCAGCAGGATTGATGTGGATGTGGACTGGTAAGGGAGGTAGCAGGAAGGTGTTGGGCACTGAGGTGGCTCATGTGGGAGGAGGTCTGGTCTGTACCTGGTAAAGTTATACCTGCCCCAATTCCCTTACTCAGGGCTCAGAATCCTCCAACATGCCTTGCCCTTTCTCTGTCTTTTCTCTTTGGGGTTGAAAACCAACTGACACAGACCTGTTGGTAGACTGAGGGCTTTGGATTCCTGGAAACTTTGAGTCCTTCTCTGAAACGCTCCTCCCTTCACATTGCTTTCTCTGGGGGGAGTGTTCTGGATGATGGTGCCATCTGAGGGACCCATAGGAATGCCACTGGTGGGGCAACTGGGTCTGTCCTGGGCAGCACCAACACGTCTCAGAAGTCATGGTCCTACAGCAATGTAAGTTAACTGGGAGGGCACAAAAGACAAGGCTGTTGGCCCAGTGGTGTTAATGGGAGGTAGTTATAAGACCAGGATATCTAGATGAGGAAATAAAACTTTCAGTTGACTCCACGGACATTGTAGACACTTTAAGAATCGATAAATCATTTCCTGGGAGTAAGAGGTGGAAAGGGGGAAAAATGGCAGAGATCCAGTCTGATTCTGAAAAGAAAAAACAAAACAAAACATTTTTTTCTTAGATTTTCCTTTAAAATGTCCTCTAGAATACTCAAGTCAATTAACTCTCATCACTATCCTGTCTAGTAGGTCAGGAGGCACCCAAGTGATCCACATCCACTGTCACCAGAAACTCATTTTACCTTTGCACCATTCATCTTCCTGCATCCTTACGGCCCTGGACATTTGATGTGGACCATTTAAGAGCAGGCAAGATGGCTGGTCAGAGACAAGAAGTGGTAGTGGTTAAGTGCACAGCTGTAGGAGCTCTGAGTGTCCATGTGCAAGTTACTTAACCTCTCTGGCCCTTGGCTTTCTCCTTTGAAAAAAGAGAATTACAATGGCACTCACCACACAGAGCTGCTTTGAGGATTGAGAGAATGTATGCAAAGCTTTTAGTACACCAAAAGCAAGTGTGTCTTGCTTCAGTCCCTGCTGGGCTCATCACCATCAACACAGTATCATCATCATCCTCATGCTCATGATCATCATCACCACTGCAGGTACCGTGTACTCACTAGGGTGCCAGGCACCCCACTTTAGCAAGCCTTTAATCATCTTAAAATCTACAGAAAGGGCTATTTATCCCTTAAAACTCAACTGTTGACAGATCTGAAACCCGAGGCTCATTGACCCACTGTGAAAGTGGATCCAGAGGAAGGATGATGAGATTGTAGTGATTTAAGTAGAGACATGGAGGGGGCGCCTGGGTGGCTCAGTTGGTTGAGCGACTGCCTTCGGCTCAGGTCATGATCCTGGAGTCCCTGGATCGAGTCCCGCATCGGGCTCCCT